ATATATATATATATATATATATATATATATATAGACACACACACACACACACACACACACACACATATGTCATGAACAAAATTTTATCATCAAGCAAGAATTCCTATGAATTTTGAGCAAAACAAAATTCTAAAATCAAATTCAAGATCATTTGAGCCTCAATTTTTATAGTCAAACTAGGTGGCTCGACAAGATGAACACAATGGCGCAAAAAAAGATTCCATAAGTGTCTAAATAAACTCAACTCAAGTACTCAAAGTATTGTTAAAGATTTTGATTCATCGATTGGAAGCTAAACAATCTCCAAATTTGTGATGATTGCAGCCAGATCAAACTACTGAATGAGAGGAGTCTAATGAGCTTAACATTATCTAATTTTGATGTTGTTAAGACATTTAAACTTTGAAAAAAGTGACATGTTATCAAGGGAATCAATGTGGACTATTTGATAAAGTGTTTTATGATCTGGCTAAATTTACCAAAATGTCACTTTCAAAAATTAAAGATAAATCTCTTATTTTCTCTTAAAAGGGTTTGCCGGGTTATGTTGTAAAGAGTCATTTGATGGGTAATGTTTTAGACAATTATGATTTCAACATAATTCTATAATCTCATCTTCTAGAATTTAGAAAAGATGACTTTCAATTTTCTAGTGAATTATTTTGATTAGGTTAGACCTGTGGGTTTTCCCTTTTCACAGTTTCTTCACATAAAAATTCAGTTTTCTTGCATTCTATTTATATGTGTTGGAAATTATACTGAGTTAAGGCTTAGGATTTTCTAAAATCAAATAAAAATTGAGACAGATAGACCTAGATTCAAAATAAACAGTAAATTGGTTTTTAAAAAAAATCTAATGAATTCGACTGATATATTTGATTCAGTTTATTTTTTTTAATTTAATCAATTAATGCATGCCAGTAAATTTTGCCTATGATGCATTTTGAATTGTGGGCTTTCTCTTTGAGTGAGACATTTTAAATATTTTTCTTTTTTTTCATTTCATTCCCAGCTAATGCAGGACGCACCCAAGCATTATTTCAACAGTTCTGGTTGCTCTTATTAGCCATTATCATATACGAGGAAAACTATTATAATTCACTGCTACTTGATGTCTTTTAACTTTTTTGAATTGATCTTTTAATATGAAGTAATTAATTTTGGGAAAATCTCTACGAGACTTCTCTATGGAAATTATTTCATATGGACAGCATATGCAGAGATATATGTGTCGTCCAATCTCTACCGTTGATCAGAACTTTCATCAATTTTTTTCTTCAAAAAAAATTGGCGCACTGAAATACAACTTTGGTTTGTTTAATAGTGAAGAACGAACGGTGCATACATCTCTGCATACTAATTTTTGGTGGAAATATATATTTTTGGAGTACTTTTGCATTGAATGTGCTCTGCATCAATGAAGAATACATCAGGAAATTGGAATTTCGAAGTTTTCCTTTACTGGTGATAGGGTTTGGTTGAAACAAAGAAATAGTGTTTACTTGTTAGATTTGTACTTGTGCAAAATTGGAATGTTGGCCTCCTAATTAGCTGTTTTTTCTATAGTATTTAATTTGTGGCCTATATAATTCAGTGGAACTTTATGAGACTTCAAAATTCTCTTCAAATTATATAAATCATCTCTGCCTACTAGTTGAAAGCTTTGTCTTCCAACCAAGAGACCCGAGATTCCACCCTTGCATAGGTGAAGTGTGATTGTTTTGAAAAAAAAGGATAGAACGATTAGACCATTTCATCCACTAAATTTGTTTAGCCTAGGCTCAAAGTCACTTTCGCATAAAGTCAGTTCGAACCCATCGAATGAAATTGATTATTGATAAACTAACTAGTTCTAACATCGATTAATTTTTTGGAATTTTACCTTCAGTGATTAAAAAGAAAAAAAATTTAGATTCAACAAAAAGAAAATTATTAAAATATTATCTCATAATTTTGATTTAGAGTTATATTCAACATTTTCGAAATGAAGTGTCCTAAATTAAAATAAATATGATTAGTTGTAAAAAAATAATATTATTGCATTATTAAATTATTTTAAAATAATTTAAATAGTTATTACAACGTCCCATCTAACCCCAATTAAAATGTTAAATGCTGAATATTAATATCTACTCCAATTTTCAAAATCTTAAGCACTATTTCGATATCCAAAGGGTTCAAGACACGTTTGGACAAAAATAAAATCTCAAGCACTAATAAAGACACGTTTGGACAAAAATAATACTGAACAAAAAGCACTATATTATACTCTCAGCAGATTGATTTTCGACATCTCGCAGGCTATTATCTTCTTATCAAACATTCTCCAGAAGTTCATTATCTTTTGTATTTTTTCATATTGTCTATTTAGTGCAAATCTCTCCAAATCTCTCTCTTAAGCGGTGAACTATCTTCGTCTTAGTAGGATTTACATAATACCACTCAATACTTATAAACGTACGAATATGTCTAACACCTAAATTTTAATTTTTACGTGCGTACCACCTTAATGGTGATGCTTTTTATGTGATATGAAAATAAAGAATAGGTGTTAGATATATGCATAGAAATTGGGTGGTATGTATGATTATTACAAGAATCCATGTACAACGATAATGCTGATTGCTCCAAAACATTCAAGCAATCAATTGGAGTGAAGATGACTAATCCAACATAAAACACAAGCACACATCCATGAGTTACAGAGTTGATAGATTATTTATATACATTTATAATGACTTGAAGAACCATGAAATGTCATCAATACTAACCCAAAACAAAAAATAAACAAAAATGAAAAATGAAAAAGATAACTGCGACATGGGAGAGAAGATTTCATGTACCTTATTTTTATTTACATATCTAACATCTAAACTTTCAGATTATATTTTTAACACTTTATTTTCATTGTATTTCTCTTTTAAAAGGTTATTGATGGCAGTATTTTTGATATGAGAGCTAAGGAGTTAGACATTTAATTATATAAAAATTGTGTGATATGTATGTATATACCCCTGTATCAAAATGTACTTTTAACGTCACATCAAATATTTTTTTTTCTACCTTTTTAAGTTAAATGTACATTATTCTCTTGCATTCGGACAATGAACCTACGCCCGGTGCATGGCAGTCGGGCACAATATTTTTTCCAATATTTATATGTCTAAAACATGAATTGTTAACATTACATAAATAAATATTATTTATAATTTTTTCAAAGTTCAATTTTTATTTATATGGATGCGATTACGATACTGACTAAAATATTATATGTTTAAAGATCAAAATCAATAGATCAGATATATAAAGAATAAATTAAAATGATATGGTATGAATGTAAAAAAAGCATCCAACCATCATCCGCCTGGCACGTGTCAGCCCTCGCACGGTGATTCGAAGTTTGAATAAAAGCAGAAGGTTCTCTTCCCACCCATTCCGCGCCATCTTCGGCTACCCTCCTTCTGCGCTCCACCTCCCAACGAACGGCTGGTTTGCGTCTCACAGCCCTGCTTCTTACGGCCGCGTGGACCGAAGCCCATCGTAATTTTTATTTCGATCAACGATAAACGAAACAGCTCCTTTTTGTGCTCTGTTATAAAAGGAAATGAATTCATTCTGTTCGCCATTTCGATCTTCCTCGCTTTCGCGATCGTTAAAATATATCTTGTTGGCGTGAGTTCTTTCAGGAAAGTATCATGCTTTCTCTCCACAATTCCTTCAAATCCCACCGCTCCAACAAGCACTTATCCGAATGCGACGGAGAGGACCAGCGGCCGATTCTGTACGGAAACCCTCACGAAGACTCTAGCGATCATCAGGAGGTCATCGTTAAAATCGACGAGGGGAGTCCGGATATCAATATGCAGTCGGGTATTCCGATACCGGCGGGGGGCCGGGGGCCCGCCGGTAACAATGTGTGGAGGGAGTCTAGCTACGAGTTCCTGCAGGAAGGGAATCTTAACAATGGCCGCGGGGGTGTTGGGGGAAGAGCAGTAGAGGAGTCGGGCTTTTCTTTACAGAAGCAGAGCCTACAGGAGACGAAGCAGGTCCAGGACCCTCCGTCTCGGCTGATCAGCTTGTTCATACAGAAACAAAAGATATCCGGTGCCGAGATGGCCCTGGATATGGACCTCGAGATGGATGAGCTCAAGAATCCAGTGGAGAATGTTGGAGAGTCGAAGGATCTGCGCGTTTCCTTTCAAGACGTTTCTACTGATCCACCTTCCCGCCACTCCCAGGAGGATTCAGAGGACGATGACTCTGACACCTATGACGAGGGGCGTGAAAGGCGCGAACTCTGCCGTGGTTCGGCTACCGTGAACCCTAGCGCGAGGGACGGCGGCACCGAAGTTGTGCACTGTTCCTCTAACTCGTTCTTCCACCGCAGGAGCAGCATGCTGTTGAGGGCCAAGACGAGGTCTAGGTTGATGGATCCACCGATTGTCGGCAGTGGTGGGACTATCGAAAGGAAGTCGACTAGAATGCCAAACAAATCCAGCCAGCTCCCGCCGAGGTCATCAGCCCAATTGCCTCCGCGGCCTGGCCCGCCCAGATCCGGACTGCTTGGCAAGTCATCGGTGATAGAGGAGGACGAGGAGGACCCCTTCGAGGACCTTCCTGATGAGTTCAATCGCACCAAGATCGGCACCTGGACTATACTGCAGTCTATCGGCTTTGTACTAGTTATTGCTGCTCTTATTTGCAGCCTCACCATCCACGGGATCCAGCACCGGACCATTTGGGGACTCGATTTATGGAAGTGGGTAGTTCTCGTCCTCGTCCTCATCTCAGGCCGCCTCCTCTCCGGCTGGATTACACGCATCATCGTCTTGTTCCTTGAGCGCAACTTCAAGCTTCGGAAGAGACTCCTTTACTTCGTGTACGGCGTGCGTAATGCCGTTCAGAACTGTATCTGGCTCGGCCAAGTATTGATTGCTTGGCAATCACTGTTCGACAAGAAGGCGGAGCGGGAGAACAAAGCGCTTTCCTACATCACAAGGATACTCTTTTGTTTAATTGTCGCCTCAGTATTACGTCTCGTGAAGACTCTTCTACTCAAGGTCCTAGCTTCCTCCTTCCACGTTAGCAGATATTTCGATCGAATTCAAGAAGCTGTATTCAACCAGTACATTATTGAGACGCTTTCAGGTCCGCCACTCGTAGATATACAACACAGCTTGGAGGAGGAGGATCGAATGATTGCCGAGGTGCAGAAGTTTCAGAATGCTGGAGCAACGATACCGAACGACCTCAAGGCAGCAGCTATGCCTTACAGGAACAGAGTGATTGGTAGTAATGGTGGTATCTATAGTGAATCCATTGGTTTGAGAAGCTCTCTGATAGAAAAGAGTTTCAAGCTGTCCGGTGCCCTCTCGAGAACAGATTTTAGTAGGCAACAGCCACGACAGGAGGATGTTATTACCATGGATCAGTTGCACAAGCTCAATCAAAAGAACATTTCAGCTTGGAACATGAAGCGGCTGATGAGAATTGTGAGGCGTGGGACATTAACGACGCTAGATGAGCAGATAACACAAGAGAGTGGGGAGGACGAGTCAACTTTGCAAATTAAAAGTGAGCATGAAGCGAAGATAGCCGCAAGGAAGATCTTCAACAATGTTGCAAAGCAAGGCGCTAAGTGAGTACTGCAACTCCCCTTCATTGCATACTTAATAATGACATATATCTTCAGCTTACAAATAAATTTAATATGCTGCCACAAAATTCAATTTGGTTAAAATCGTTTCTTCATGCATTCTTCAATTATTTTTTATTGTTATTTCATATTTATAAGTATGTTCAACTAAACGTTGCATTTGATTAGATCTGCAAAAGCAAATCAAATATTTTATGCATTCTTCCTTTGTAAATTTGTGCATGCACATACTCGTCTACAGCCAAAACATCTACAACAGAAATGTAGGAATAACTATGACTATGAAGTAATATTCTGTTCTTAGCTTACATCGTTCCCTCCTTTTTATGAGATATTCTGTTCTTAGCTTACATCTCACCCTCCTTTTTATGTGATAAGGAGCGTCAATATAATATTTTGGTTGATCTAACTTTATATTTTAGTTATGTTGATCGTTTGCTGTGACGTGGTCAATGGCCAATAACATATTTGAAGCAAAGTCAAATCTTGACCCTCGTCAAACAATACCTTAATCAAGTAAACCATTAATCATATTTGACTAGTCCTTATTTAGCAGTTCATCAGACATAGTCCCTATAACAATATACGAGAACGCCTTTATCTAGATTTAGAGACCACAGCTATTGCACTCAACTTATGCACTTGTTGTCACTTATGGCCACTCTTCTTGCTACATGTAACCCCCTTCAATGGCCTCTCATGTTAGGAAAAATCTGACTTGTAGAAGCATGTATTAGAAATGAATAAATGGATGTATGGATCCAAATAAATCTAGTGTTTGGCAAACTTCTTATAAACAGCTAGATAAAAGCTCTTTTATATTTGTAGGATTAATTAACAAAATAAGATTGAAGAATTATACAAATGATCAGTTATTAAATGAACGAACTTGAATTGTTTGTTGTTCTATTTGTTTATGATCCTGAACATTATTATTTAAAGCTTATGAACAAATTTATTAAGAAGCTTAATAAAGGCTCGATCAATGAAAACTTGATATGATGTTCAAACTCATTTTTTAAGAGAATTATTGAGCTTTTAAATCATTTGAAGCTTGCTAAATTAAAATTATATTTTTTTAAGCTCAATATGATTTTAGACTCAATAGGCTTGTTGTGTGCTAGACAATTCTCAACTATAGAGAAATATTATATATAGTTTTCCAACACACTCATGGATAGAGATGTAAGAGAATTAGATTTTTTACATAAAAAAAAATCCTGGAATGGCAAAAATCACCCGTCTGGCCTAGTTAAAATAATACACTAGAAAATTGAAAGTACTGATGTCCACACTTCTCTTGAACTAGGGAAGATGAGATTACAAGAACTGATAATTATAGTTTTATAATAATAGTTTGGCTACAATAATCGCAATAGGGCTACAATAATTGTTGTTTGTGGCGACAGTAGTAATAATTGGCTATAAAAATCATAGTTGGTTGCTATAGCGATCATAATTGACTACATAAGTTATAATTTTTTGCTACAACAGCATATTTTCCTACGATAATTGTTGGTGATGATTGTTCACCTCTACTTGTCGGCTCACTCTTCTCTTCTCATCTCCCTTCATGTGAAGATGGAATTCCTATTTTCATAGAGGTATTTTGATAAATTTCACCAAAATCTCAAAATATTTTATTTGACGGTACACATTGTTTTCCTTTTCAACATTTAAGCGCCTTAGTGACCTCAGAAGTGAATGAGCTTGGGCTCGTTGGATTCATATCTTAGAGATGCTCCATTTGAGAATAAACATACCAAAAGTTTGAGTTCTTCTGGTCTTCCAATGGATGCACTAATGGCTTCAACTATTTTCTAGTTTTTGATTGGGCTTATTTGGACTCAGATTTTCGCATTTTTGGCATCAATGGGCTCATCTTGTTGAGATGCTTAGTTTGACTATAAACTTGTTAAAATTGGGACTCAGATGATATTGAATTTTAATTTGAAATATCTCTTCCTCAAAAAGCGTTGATATTCATTCCTAATAATAAAATTTTCTTGGTGACATATCTAGGCTCACCTAGACTTAGCTTATTTATGATTGAAAACGAGTTGCTTGTTGATTAATATAAATAACCAAACTTAAGCTAAGTTTAACTAAGCTCAAATAAACTTGAATTTAAATGAACCAAGTATGAACGCTCAAAAAAACATGGATCATTCTTGATTCAAGCTTTAACATACTTTTAGTACATGCGCTTGAGCTTGAACAGCTTCTAGCTCAGCCCTGCTCAATTTTCTTGTAACCCTAAATGAATATAATGAAATCGTTAAGTAATAAAAACAAATCAAGCACTATAAAAAGCACAAATTTATGCAGTTAGGCTAAAAATATAAATCAAGCTAGAGTCAAGCCCAAACCAAGCTTGAATAAACACGAGTTTAAACGAAATAAGCTAGAACACTATTATAAAAGCTCAAATTGAGCTCAAGCCAATCTTGAACATACTTTTAATAAACAAGGCCAAGATCAAAAAAAGTCTAGTTGGCTCAACTCAGTTTGTTTGGAGCCCTAAATGTATACGATGAAGGTATTAGGTAAGAACAAAAAGATCAAGCATAATAAAAAGGACATCAATTATATAATTAGGCTGAAAAAAAGGATCTAAATTCATGAGAGAGGATACATGATCTGATCTACTATAACTACACATCAACAACAAGCCTTTCTCCCCCTAAGTGGGATCGGCTACATGAATCCTTTTTCTCCCTTGCTCCCTATTGAGTGTCCCACTATGACTATGCATGTATATAATTAATAAAAGGTGTAGAATAAAGTGCTCTTTCCCAAACCTACATATATTCAATCTCATTTTAAAAAAGAAACCCAAATTTCTTGAGCCAAACAAAAAAGGAGAATCTTGCCATAGATAGTTTGCCAGAAGTTAGCATTTATTAAGTATTATATTTTATTCTATAATATATTCTCTTAACTCTTTATTTCTTTCTTATTTTATAGTGAAATATATCAAGTTTTACAATTATTCTAATATATGAGTCTTAATCTCTTTTATGATGTTATATTCTAAATTAAAACTATTTTTCTCTTTTAACAAATAAAGAAAAATTTGAACTTTTAAGAAAAGCCCATTTAAAAATGGTGCCTTTTTCTTAAAAAGTTTGATGAAAATATCTTTCTTATTGTTCCTTGATAAGATGTATGTAGAGATGTAGATGTAGATTATATATTAGATATATTAGATTGATGTTCATTTCAAATAAAAAGTTTTCTTTTTATTTTTCTGATATATGATAGAGCTCATTTAAAAATGAATATCTATTATCATTTTGGAGTTTTAGAGTTTTAGAAAAATACTCTTATTGTGGCAACAATAATAGTATACATAGTTATCATCTCATGATCACTTAGAATGAATATATAAATAAGGATGATTAACAAACCAATTAATATAAGTTTAATGATGATGATCAGGATGATGTCAATTTCTTAGCTGTTTTTTTTTTGTTGCAACATCAATAACATGTAAACATGTTAACTATTTTAATTTTACCACCGCCTATTGTTTCTAAGCTGCTTGAGATTTTCAATGAGTTAATTATATTCCTTTTGCAATTTGTAGGCATATCCACTTGGCGGATCTAATGCGATTCATGAGGGAAGATGAAGCTCTAAGGACTATGACCCTTTTTAATGGGGCACAGGATGATAATAGAGTCAGCAGGAGGGCTCTGAAGAACTGGGTGGTACTGATGCATTCTCTCATTGAAATTTAAATGCTTTCCCTCATTTAATTTTAAATTAGGAAGATTTACATACCAATTCCTATGAATTTGCATATTTAACCCCTAAATTTCAATTACCTTAACTGAGTATGAAAATGTGTACTTCACGTTTTAAAATTTGAAGGAGTACTTTTTATCTGATATGAATGATATAGGTGGTATAAATGTAAAAAATAAAGTTTAGGTGTTAGATATGTGAATACCTAAGAAAAAGGTGGTATGTATGTAAATGCCCCATTAATTTATCATACCTATGAATCATATTGGATATTTTTTGTTTCAGATCAATGCATTTAGAGATCGCAGAGCCCTTTCTTTGACATTAAATGATACGAAAACTGCAGTGAACAAACTTCATCAGATGGCAAATGTCGTTCTTTTCATAATACTAATTGCTCTCTGGCTTCTTATTCTGAACATCACAACAACACATTTTTTTGTTTTTATTAGCTCTCAAGCTCTCTTATTGGTGTTTATTTTTGGCAACACGTTAAAAACCACTTTTGAGGCTATCATTTTCTTATTTGTGATGCATCCCTTTGATGTTGGTGATCGTTGTGAAGTGAATGGAGTTCAGGTAATATAAAATTTGTTCTTTTTTTTCTCGAATTTATTTCAAGTCTAAAGTGGGTATTCTAATATAAATTTTAGATGGTTGTGGAGGAGATGAATATTCTGACAACGGTCTTTTTGAGATATGACAACCTGAAGCTTACATTTCCAAATAGTGTGCTTGCTACGCTGCCCATAGGCAACTATTACAGAAGCCCTGATATGGGAGACAGTGTCGACTTCTGTATTCACGTCTCAACTCCTGTGGAAAAGATAGCAATTATGCGGGAAAGAATTACAACGTAAGTAATTTTTTAATATTTCATTTGGTGTTTGTTTTGAATTGATTTTAGCTCTTTAAACGCACTCTGAAATCAACCATAAAAAATGTTTAGGCATGCATCTGTAAACCGTGGTTAGAAATTGGGAAAATATTACATCAAATTTGCGTTAGGAGTCCAATGGTGGGGCGTCACGTGTCAAGTGAGCCCCACCGCAATACACTGGCATTACCAGTGTTAAAAATGATAGAACCCACTTGACACATGGCGCCCCACATTTTTTCTTTAGAAATTAGACTCCGGCTATCAATTAATTTGTAGAAAAACTGTAGTTTGTAATTTGCACTAAATTAGACATGAACATCTTGTCTTCGTAGAGGAACACTGCAGTATGTTATATTCAAAAGTTGACCATGTAATTATGAAGAGTAAAAACAAACAGTTCCGAGTTTTGTAAAATTGTTTATCAATTTTATGCTACGAAATAATTTTAGTTAACAAAACCTTGTTGAAAGTTACTAGGGTGCGCTATCTTTGCTTAGGGTTTTAAATTTAGTTGGAATTGTCGTCACACTTGATCTTGGTATACAAAACCTTTTTTTTTTTTTTTTTTTTTTTTTTTTTAGTTCAACTTATGTTGTCACACTTGATATTGCTATACTCTGCAGATTCATGGAGAATAGGAAGGATCATTGGTACCCTGGTGCTCAGATTGTTATCAAGGATTTTGAAGAAGTAAATAAGTTGCAGGTTTCGCTCTGGATGCGACATCGCATCAATTTTCAGGACATGGGTTTAAAGTGGACGAGGAGAGAACCAGTGGTACAGGAAATTATCAGAATATTAAAGGAACTTGATATTGAATATCGCATGTTGCCTGTGGATGTGAATATCAGAAACTTGCCTCCAGCCACCTCCAATCGCCTCCCTTCCACATGGAACACCTGCAGCTAATGCCTAAACCTACAAACTTTATGGATAATTACATACGCAGCACTTTAAGTTTTGTTATTTACAAAACTAACACCAAGGTGATTTTTTTGAACTATTGAACCATTGCATTTACAGGTGCCACTGATCAAACCATTGGGGATATGATAAAAATGAAAAATGTGTATCGTGCATGTTGAACTTTTAGTGAGAAACTGAAAAATGGATGAAAAAGAATGCTAATTCTATAAATAGCAATGCTTCGAGTGCTATGCATGTAATTGCATTAAAAATGTTTCTTTTGTTTTGAAGAAAAGGCCTCTTTTGGAGATGAGTGTTGGTTTTAGACTGGGAATGAAATTGTATTATTAATAGTTTATAGGGCATTTTAAATCAACAACTTAATGGCTCGAACATTTCAATTTTTTTTTTCAGTAATACTTCCATTAACATCAAATTTCATTTATGTTAACAAGCTAAAAGTAAAAGAAAGCAGACAATTGGTGGTCTTATAAACATAGGAATTTATTTGACGTGCATTGAAAATGAAATATGAATCAGAAGTTTGGCGAAGCTGCTGAAGATATATATACAATAGAGTACTGACTATTAGTATATACAGTTGTATAGTTATCAAAGAATTTTAATTATATCAACTTTCTATCAGGAATCATCATGGTGTTTATAATTTTGTTCTTAGTTATGTGATATTCAAAGAGGTGTATATATATATATATATGTATATATATTGTTGAGATACCTATTAAATTACGTAATAAAAAAAACATACTAATAGAAAAATGTTTATAAGATACAAAATTATGATAAATAAATCAAGAATGAGTATATCAACAAGAAAAAAAGACTAGAGTGATATTTATTGAATAGAAAGTTATTGAAATAAGATCAATATATTTTGGACATATGAAAGAAAAGATAGAAAAATAAATCACTGGATAAATGGATAAATTTTATGACAACTAAATTAGGAAGAGAAAAGGAAAGGCCTAAGATGACATTGGTGGAAGCTATTAAAATAAAGTGGATGTTACCTACATAGATAGCACCCAATTCTTATGCATTTACTTATCTCATATCCAATATTTGATTTTTACAAGTTAAGCACCTTACTTATAGGGAAAAGTGTAATCCATCTTTTCAAACATATGAAAGGATGCATAACTTGTAAAAATCAAAGTAAAGTTTGGGTTTGAGATGAGTGAATAAAAAAGAATTGGTGCTATGTATGTAAATTTCCCTAAAACAAATTTGTAAAGACTAGCTTATGAATAAAAAACTAGGATTCTTAAAATTAAATTTAAATTAATAAAATAAAATTTATGACAATAATAAAATATTTTCTATTGTTTTGATTGATGATGGTCGTTTTAGTTAACCTGATACCTATTACAACTATTGTTATTGCCTTCTATCGTAACCTTTAGTGGGAAGATGGTAAAGGGTATGAAGATAAGGGGTGTAAACTCAGTTCTATTACAACTATTTAAAATGTTTATTGACCTCACTTTCGGTCAACTCTTCCTTCGAACTCAAGATAAACTCAAAACCAACTCGCATTAATCTCATATCCAAAACTTATTCAAACTGAACTAAGAACAACCTGTTCGTAGTTTATTTAAGCTTTCATCAAGAACTTAAATTTTTGTGGGGTAGGACCCACACTTTGACCTCAACTGCCTTATTCTGGAGAAACTAAGCCAAGATCAACCTTGCCTTCAAAATCCTTAAATTTCCTTCTACTGATGTGGGCCAATGTTGCCTTTTTGATCGAGATTGCATGCCCGCGCACCCCATGCACACATAAGCACACAAGCCCACGCCTTTGTGAGCTTGCTCGTGCGTTGGGCCACATGCGTTTGTGCACTCACAAGCAGTCCGTTTGGCCCCCCGTGTGCACACCTTAGACCAGCGTGACCATGCCAATTCGAGCGTAGCCACACCCATATGTTCTCGGGCATGAACACGCCCGTTTCAGGCGTCGCTATGCCCGAAATGTCACGTCTGCCGTTAACATGGCCACGCCCCTGAGCCACGCCAATGATCTTTGACCTTCCTCCTTGGATCTAGAAGTGAATTGACACGCCTTTTCACCGTTGATAATCCATAGGAGCTCCAACCATTAAAGGAATCACGATCATCAATCTCTATCCCAATCAACAACCATCGGAGTTGATTCGTAGGAGAAAATGGCTCTTGTCACTTCCTCAATCGCCTATAAATAGGCCCCTGACCCGACCCATAATTACACAGTAATTTAGCTTCCAAAAGATGGCCAAAAACTATTTATATCTAGCGGCTAGTGTGCAAAATTGATATGCTATAAAATTTAGAAAATAATTTACACACTAGGGGTACCATGCAAGTATATGTATCGTTTCAAGTAATATAGAATTTTCTTAAAAATCCCAATATTGATCCCACAGAGAAGTGGCGTAAGAAATCCCTTAGGATAAGTTCTAGTCTACTACCATAAAATCTTAGTTTTGGAAGGTCGATTAAGATGATGTTTTATTAGAAACTACTCCTAAGTGTAAATAATAAGTGCAAGGATAACAACTATTCCTAAATACAAATATTACTTCTAAAGAAAACTTATCTTGATAAACTGGTTTGGTGAATTATGAGATGTAAAAACTACCATTCTCAAGTGCAATGACATAGAAAATGTGAAGGAAAGAAATGCATAGAATCTAATGTAGTAGTGACAAATAGGAGCATATATATTCTTTACCTCTTCCGAGCAAAAAGAACATTGGCTAATCTAAAGTTGGTGTCGTCATGTATAGTAAAGTTGGGTATGTTCTAGTCTCTCACTCCTAGATTACCCACTGTGCTCTCTTTATAAGACCTACCAGTAACCCTTAGTTCCAATCTCTAGACCAAATTGATAAAAGAATCTAGTCTGCCACTCTAAAAACATCAATTCTACGCCCATCAAATCTTATCTCCTTATCTATTTGCACTCCCCCTCAGACAATCACCACTTCTCTTTCCAAAGTGAAATGTGGCTCTACTTAGTTGAGAATTACACCGCCGTCTAGGATCTTAATGCAATACAACAGATTTTAACATTACAACAGGCCAAAATTGCAATGAAAATAAAGTTCAAGCGAATACCATCACATTAATAATAATAATAATTATAAAATTCATTCCAAAACATCTATCCAAATCATAGCAAATGAAAAGTAAATGAAAATAATGGCATAAGTAGTAAAAGAATTTTATAGAATTTTGTGCCAATAAGGAACATATTTCTAACTACCACTCATCCAAGTGTAAATATAGGCTTAGTATTTTATTAGTTTTGAGCAACTATATGTCACCTAGAAACTCCTAAATGAAACAGATCCTTAAACTATATTTCCTTAAAAGTTGCATTACCGCCCAAACTACTTCATCATTAGTAACCGGACAATGTGAGTGCACTCAAGTTGTAAGATCACAGCTCTCCCAAGTATTAGTTTCAATTACAACAAATTTTAGCATAACATATTGCCACTTAAGTTATGTCAATGAAGTAAAGGAGATATTACTCATCACAAGAGATTGAAATCATTATATAAGAAAATGAATTTTTCTACACATGTCACTACTTCAACTTAAAAGAAAGAGTAAAAAAAATTACTTATGAAGCATGGAGAAAACAAAATAGAAAACTTCATCAAATCAAAGCAAATCCAATAGAAAGTGTTTTCAACAATTACAAGATAATGAAAAACATAATACTTATCTTTTTTCTCTCTAAAAGAAAGATGAAAATCTCTCCAACAAAGTCTTCTGCCGATCCATGCTCCACTCATACAATTCCTTTATACATTTCTCTCAAAATCCCTCACTAATCTCTCCAGACATGATGGAAATGTACATCATCAACTCACACTAAACTCTCTCTAAAATCCTTCTAAAACTCTTCCTAATACTCTCCTTAACCTCTTACATGAGAGGCGCCAACCCCCCTATTTAAAGAGACAAAAATCCTTTCTTTCTCCAAGAGACACATCTCTTCATCTAAAAGACAAACCCTTCACTCCAAGAGATTCAACCTTTTATCCAAGAGCCTTTCCAATTGTCTATAATCATTTAACCACTCGATGGGGCGTGCAAGCCATCCAGAAGCTTCCAGAACATCTCGTAACCACCAAAAACCGTCCAAAACCGCCCATTGACGGTTTCTGACACCTAGGCGCCATCTTTGACGCTTAGGCAATGTTTTCTAGTCGTCACTAGTTCCTAGGCATCATTTTTGGGCGCCTAGGCATCACTTTGCATGCATCTCTAGCATTTCGCCCCATTTTGCTCCGTTTCAACTCTGTTTCGCTCCAAATTATTATACCTACAAAATAAGCATGAAAATAACATTTCCTTAAACTATAATTTCATTAAAAAACACGTGATAAATGTAATATAGATTAATCATAGAAAGACATATCGAAATGTGTCAGGTCAAAATTTTCATCCTTCCTCGTTTTGACTCCAAATTGTATCATTTTTGCTTCATTTTCTCCAAAAATCTATTTCTTGTACCTGAAACGAAAAAAATGCAAAATACATTTCTTTAAAATGCAATATCATAAAAAATTTACATAAAATGAACATTAAATGTATATTAAAAATAGGTAATTTTCAGATGGATCAATTCCCCCAAACTTAAACCTTACTTGTCCTCAAGTAACACTTAAACTTTAAAAACTAAAATTGTTAACTTGTGGTTGTGGGTTTCTTTTAAATGACCCAAAATTTTGTTTTAGAAATGTTATAGTCCAAATTAGAAGAATTTCTAGTAAAGTGGATGATATCTAAGGTATCAGAACATTTACTACTAAATTTAGGAATACTGATTTTTAATTTAATTTGGATTTTATTGAAACTTTTCAAAACTTAGGATTTTTAAAAAAATATTAATTTCTGAATTTATTATTTATATATTGAAAATATTTTTTACTAATACTTTCTGACATTAAGCATAGAATTGATTTTAAGTTTTCTTCCTTAGAAAGATTCAAGTGAAATCAATTTTTAGTTAGGTCCTATTCCTCAAGCTCCTCAATTTTTCATACTTCTCATTTCTTTCTTGTCTTTTCTTTTTTTTTTCTTTTTTTTTTCAGGATCTTTTTCATCCTTACTTTTTTTAAAAGTGAGGATTACTATATCTAGATAGGTCTTTAATAATTTTGAATTTCACTATCCCTTTTCTTAAGTTAAAAACTTATTTTCTTTTCTTAAATTAAAGTCTAGTATTAGTTTTTGAAAAAGAATTTTCATAGAATCTAAATTCTTTAAAAATTATTATTCTAAAAATTTTAATTTTTCAAAAATTCAATTTTTCCTACTATAAATAGTAAAATCATTTTCCTA